ATTTATATGTGACATCCTCGACTTAAGTAGTATCGATTTTGGGTATTTGATGAAAACAAAATAATTTTTATTTTTTGAACCTCTATAAAAGAATTTGTACTTTGCCCCCCCTGTGCGACATGCCTTAACCAACTCCCATCGGGGCCAAAATTTATATGTGATATCTGTGAGCGTGGTTTTACCGATTGAGGGGATGAGACCGAAAAAAATCATGCATTTGATTTTTAAGGACCACCCTAATGCATATGTATGCATATACATACATACTCAGCCCAGTGGCTTAGTAAAGCGTTTTTGAGCTCTCAACCTTTTCTCGATTTCAATTCTTGTTTAGTTGATTTTAAGCTTCAACGCGTTGAACTTGAAATTCTTTTTTAACATTTTCCTTTCGTGATTTTATACAATTCTTTCGATTTGTTTAAACTGTTTAAAGTTGGCAGAGTTGTTAGGCGTGCTTCATTTTTATTATGTTGCTCTAAGCAAGCGTGTGTGTGTGTGTGTGTATGCGGTACGAACGTCAAATTTGACTACGTAAGCAGCAGGTGTGTGTGCTCTATAATTTTACAAGTGATTTTTTAAGTATACACTTGTCGAATTTATTTAAAGTGATGCGCTTAAAAATATCCGCAGTTTGATAGTTATTAAAAAAAAACTCAAATATAAACTTTTTATTAAGCCTTAAATGTTCAAGTAGTTGGTTAATTTTTATTTTGAAAATTACTTAAAATGTGTTTAATCATAGCGGGTTGTTAGAGGTGTATAATTTCGAACGATTTGCGACGAACTTTTGGTGACCGAATCATATAAAGAAATGGGCCTGGAAATTGGCCACCTACATACATACACAAAAGTCATGTGTCTTGACTCTGTTAGACTACTTTTTGCCTATGCCGATAAACTAGCGACAACTGACTAGTTGGAAGCCAACATTCGGCACATTATAGGCGAGATAAGGCCGGCTATAATGAAAAAAATAAATAAAGAAATGGTGCAAAGTAGACCGACATGATGGTCTTCAAAAGACGCAGTCGCGGAGGCCGAAATTGTGTTGAAACACTAAATGCAATACAATTAACGCGCAAACTATGAAGTCAAAATGTTGACCATTTTATAAATTATATGGCATTCTATTTGAAATAAAAGTTCTATAGCTCTAGCAAAAACACCAGATACATATTTGTTCGATACGATAGTTAGGGCAGTAACTTTGTTTCATAACGACGACGGTATTATGAGTACTAGTGTTTGCCCAGTGGTTGAAATTTAATTACTAAAATAAAGGAGAGTTGAGGTGAGTTAAGGTGAAGTGAATTCAGGTGAGGTGAGTTTAGATAAGTTAAGGTAAGGTGAGATGAGTTGGGGTGAGATAAGGTGAGTTGAGATGAAATAACATTAGTTGGGGTGAGTTAAGTTGAGTTGAAGTGAAGTGAGGCGAGTTGAGATGAGACTAAATGAGGTGAGTTGAGGTAAACTGAGAGATATTGAAGTGGGGCTAGTTGAGATGAGATGAGGTGATTTGAAGTGATCTGTGATGAGTTGAGGTGAAGTGTGTCCAACAACATAACATAAAATACATAATAAAACGTAACATACATTATAACATAACATAACATAGTATGGCATAGCATAACATAACATAAGATAACATAACATAGCATAGCATAACAAAACATAACATAAAATAACATATCATCAGAGAACTTATACATATCTGAATGAAAACCTATGTCGGCATTGTAGTGAAAATTATAAAATGAGGCAGAAGAAATTCTTTAAAAAATCTATTAAATTAAAGAATTTGAAAATTTTTTAACCACTGGTTATTCCAAGTAGAAGGTTAAGGTTCGTGATACTATGTCTGTTTCTAGCTCCAATTAAATGCAACAATAAAATTTCTGTAGGTCAAAGACGGCTTGAATACCTTTCCCTTTATTGTAGTATGTATTTCATTTATTGTATCAATTTAAATGTATTAAATTTTTCAAATAGGTGGTAACCCTCTTCAAAAATATTTTCCAAGCTAAGCTTTCTTAAACTTATTTTTTTATTTTAGTATAATAAAGTGCACGTTTCAAGTGGCTGCCAAATACCGTTGAATTTTAGCAATTTGTTATTGTTGACGGTGTCACGCATTTTCTGCCATACAAAGTATGCTCGAAATTTGTTTGTATGAAATAGGGATGTTGCGAATGTGGAATATTAGACATCCGCGGATGCGAATGCGGATGCGGATGGCTAACAGGTAACAGGCGCGAATGCGAATGCGGATGTCAAGTATTTTTAAGAAACAATTAGGCAAGTAAATTAAGTTACTTAGGTAAATGAAAAAATGGAAAAGTTAACCATACTTTTTTCATAACCATAACCATCACTTTTTTCGAAATATGCTAAAAAAAATAATTAATAAATTAATTAACACATTTTTTTTTACTAAAATTGCAATAATCTTCGAAAGTAACGGGTGATTTTTTAAGAGCTTGATAACTTTTTTTTAAAAAAAAACGCATAAAATTTGCAAAATCTCATCGGTTCTTTATTTGAAACGTTAGATTGGTCCATGACATTTACTTTTTGAAGATAATTTCATTTAAATGTTGACCGCGGCTGCGTCTTAGGTGGTCCATTCGGAAAGTCCAATTTTGGGCAACTTTTTCGAGCATTTCGGCCGGAATAGCCCGAATTTCTTCGGAAATGTTGTCTTCCAAANATGTTTAATATTTGAACTTTGATGGACTTGGGCGAGCCTAGGATATTGACCAAAAATTTTCACATTTCACACAGATATTTTTTAGAGCATAGTTAACCATATTTTGCCTATTACCAATCCAAATTCTAAAAAAGCGGGTTTTCGGCCCACGCTAATACAGAGTATAAAGGAAAGTCGAGATTCTTTGTACGCGGTAATCTCGATAACTACTGAACGGATTTTGACGAGATTCTCTCTAATATATTCTGTATCGATAAGAGAATGACCTTTTTAATTTAGAATTTTAATAGTGTTGCCACCTGTTAAGAAAATTACTATATGCAATTCTAATAAGCGTAGGCGTCATATAAGATCTTCACCGTCCGTTGGATAAAAAAATTAGATACCAAATTAAAGTGCATGGCCTTTGCATGGACAAAAACTGTAAGTTTTTTGAGTAGGGTTGCCACTTATCTAAAAATTACCATCTTCTATAGATAGTATAAAAGAAAGGCGAGATATTTTAACCACGCCATTGAACGGATTTAGGCAAGATTGTTTATGATTTCTTTCTCCAAATACGAAGCCTCGCGCATCCCTGACCGGCTAGTACGTTTATAAAACATTAAATAAACAAAAGAAAAGAAGTCAATACTAGTCAAAATATCGACTCCTATTGTTTTGTAGGACAAAAAGTACATTCGTCGATAACTAAGCCGATATTTTTATTATTGAATTCATAGATAAACACACTTACCTATCGATAGGGCTATCGCGTATTTTTTGCTTTCTACTTTAATACACCCAAATATTTTTCGTTAATCTAATAATAAAACCCAATTTGTCGATAAAAAAATAGCAATAACTTTATTTATTGACTTTTATCTTTAATTTTATCGTTAAGCATCACCGACATTTGGTCTATAAATTTTATCAAACAATTTTTTTTCTATTTTCAGGCATTTTGCTTTGCAGTTCAGTATCAAGTACAACGTTGGTCCAGAAAAAAAGTGTATAAAGCAAGTTAATGTGTTATTTAGCAATAAATACAACCAACAACAACTACACTTCCAAAATTAAATTCCAGTGCAACCACATATTTACCAAGTGCTCGTAAAGTCATCAAAAAAAAAATTCCCCTACTCTGCGGCACTTCCGCTTACAGTAGTTCTCCAGCCTAAATAAAAGTAGAACGCGCGCGTAGCTCTTAACGCCCAACCCCTTCGTCACCCCCAGTAGCATCGCAACGGCATCCCCTAATCAACAAACGACGCATTGCAGCTCGAACAGCTGCAGCAAACATCAAAACACACACAGGCGTATAATCGCAAATACGCTGTACCAACAACAACAACAACACGCGCAACCACTAAGCGGTCGCGGCGGACTTCGCCATCCCAGCTCACAAACACAAATCTGTCGCGCTGTAGTGCGTTCCACGAAAACACCGGAAAAGCGTCACTCTGCACAACAGCTGCCCAAACGCGATCGCTACTTCTATCAAGTGAATCCGCAGACGCGCTGGTACACCATTTATGAGCGTGTGCCATATTTTCGCTGGGAGCCACGCTTGAGCGGCGTCTACAACAGTCCCTATCCACACTACATACACTTGCCGCCACAGCAGGGTGGCCAACAGGGCGAGCACAGTAAGGAGCAACATTTATTGCCGCTGCCACCACTTAGGTCAGAACAGGCGCAGCTGTCGCATTTGACTTCGCTGCTGGAGGAGGAAAAACACCAAAAACAATTGCATAAACAACAACTGCAACAGCAGGAAAAATATTCACAGCAGGCCTTTCAGCAGCAACAGCAACAGCAATTGCAACAACAACTACGGTTAGCACATCATCAGCAGCAGCATCAGCAGCAGCAGCAGCAGCATCAGCATCAGCTGCAGCAACAACAGCTACAACACCAACACTTTCAGCCACAACACCACCAACAGCCGCAATTTCAATATTCGCCAGCGCCTGTCATCAGCGCCGCTTCGCCAACTTCTTACGACGCTTACGAGTATCAACAATCGCCCGCGCAGTTGCCACAATATTTACAATTGCCACAATATTCGCAGCCCTCCCCACTGCAGCAGCCGCAAATATTGTCGTCGTCATCTTTGTCACCACATCTGCCGCCAGCGTTAACCTCATCCGTGGCGCCGTGTCCTCAAGAGTACAATAGCGCGCCAGGTGCAGCTGGAAATATATTTTACAACTGCAAGTGCCACGACAGCTTCTTGCCATACAAACAGCTACCACCGAACTGAGTGAAAAAGTATAAAACGCACGCACAATAACAATCAAATAGCCGCCCGTTTCAACACACAAAAACACACACACACACGATGTTGGATGACGATAATAATGATTTGCTGGCTGCAGCCTCGGAAATACAGCGCAGTGAGTTTAAACGTAGTTTACCTGTTTAATTAACCATTTGCGAGTTTATTGAATTTAATCTGAGTTCAATAGAAAATTTGTATGGTTTCCAAGGCCCAATACTAAGATCTTTCCGCAAGCGTGAAATCTATTTTGTCTCATAACCAATATACATACATACATACATCTGCTTTTGCTTAAGGTTATATTTTTTCCCTTTTTTCTATCTAGATCCCTACCTCTACTCCTGTTCGTTCTAATAACATTTATGTTATTCTGTTTTATTTATATTCATTTTATCTTTATGCTCTATCGATAACAAAATCGATAGTAACATCCAACAAAATATCGATAACAAATCCGATAAACATATCGATATCAAAGTTGATGACAAATTCGATAGCGAAGTCGATAATACTGTTGGTAGCAAAATTGATTAGCAAATCGATAAAAGTCTCGGATAACAAAATCGATAAATAATCGACAATAAAATTGATAACACAACTCGAGACTGAGAAAATCATTAAAAATGTCGAATAAATATCCATAACAAAATTGATAAAAATATCGATAACAAAATCGATAAATAATCGATAATAAAACCGATAAATATTGATAACAAAATCGATAACAATATCGATAATAAATTCGATAAAAATATTGATAAAAAAATCGATAAGAATATCGATAACAAAATAGATAAAAATATCGATTATTATATCGACAAGTTCTGAAAATATTGATAAAAATTTCGATAACAAAATCGATACAAACATCGGTAAAAAAACGATCAAAATATTGATTATTGTATGAGAATTCCGAAAATCTCTAAAATCCCAAAAAAGTTTCCAGATTGAGTCTCTGTGTCACTATCTATATCCTTTTCTCTATAATAACCTTTATTTTAATCTTTCTTCCTCTATCTTCATCATTTTAACTTTATCATTTTCTTCATCTACATACATATTTCCCCTCACCTTTGCCCTTATATAAGTAAAGTGTTTAAATTTACCTTGGTCTTCATTTTTGCCTTAATCTTTACGCATCTTTGTTTTTGTTTTTATTTTTACCTTTGCCTTTATCCTTTTATTTATCTATGTACGTACTCACCTTTACTTTCATTCTTGTATTGGTTGTATTGGTCTTTTTCTAAGTGTTATTCTTTAACCCTTTATTAGCAAGTTTTTGTTAAATTCATACCATTCAAGAAGCACTTGTTTCAGCTCAACCATTTCCATTGCACCACTTCCGTTGCACTATTTCCGTGTGCAATTTCCGTTAAATTTGCCAATTTACTCCCAACCAACCAACCGCCGCTAAAGAAGTTTCACTTCAAAAATAAATAAGGGGGGGNGAATTGGAGAATTGGATGGTGCAGTTTTTAGTTTACTCTTAAAAAGTCCATATAAGTCAGTCATTTGGCAGGTCCTTATTAAAAGCAAACGGATAGTGAAAATGACTACATTGAAAGAAAGAGAAGTCATTGAAATAATACTTAACAACTAGCGAACCCGCACGGCGTTAAAATGCTCAGGATCGATTTTTAAAAACCCGAAAACTATTCTAAGTGTTAGTCAGGGTATAAGCGATTTGAGTGTCACATTTCTTCTAAATCCGTAAAACCGTTTCGCATAGTCGGTTTTTAATATTATGAAATTTTAAATCACCCTGTACAGTTAAAAAGTTTCTAGTTTCAAAAAATAAAACCTTATCGCACATCTACAGGCCAAGGTCTTCATTTTGAACCGTCATATTTCAGAAATAAACAGGCAGGTTATACAATTTATTTCCGAGTGATCTTTTACAAAGCTCAATTTGAGTTTGAAGCGAATGTGGTTTAAATTCACTCGAAAGTGAAATGCAGAACCCACCTGAAAGCGTTTTCAAAACCATTTCGCTTTTCTTGTGCGTGCGCGCTAGGCAATGTCCGGTGATTACCCCGACTGCTAAATTGAGAGAAGAGTGGTCCAATCGAGTCTTAGCCATGGACGGCTTTACATAAAGTTTTAGCCGTATGGCCTGGGGTAGTATAGCAGCTTGTTTCCACAGCCCACCTGGCATTTACCTGCTCGATGAAATCAGCCTTTCATGTGTGTTTGCCGGAGGTTAACGGAAGGTCCGCATCTTTTGTGGAATAGACTTCGGATATCCATCCATCCATCTCATTGCCAGCGTGTTTGCTATGCAGTTGCCAGGAATGTCACTGTGTCTGGGGACCGACCAAACACTCAAGGAGCATTTGGATGCCAACAGGTTTGGAATCTTTCTGCAGTTTATGGCTACTTTCGTCGTTGTTCCGTTAGATTTTATTGCCACCAGCCTGTCAGAATAAATAGCCATATTTATGCCATCCTTGAGGGGCAGAGGTTATGAGCCCGCGAGCCGCCTTCATTACGGCGTTTAGTTTATGAAAACTACAAAAAAAAATTCAAAACATACGAAAGAATCGATAATAGGGATGTTGAGAATGTCACGCTTTTCACATTCGTGAATGCGAATGCGAATTAAAAAATCAGTGCAATGTAAAAAACAATATGGGTACCAAATAAGAGAGAAACCTCTGTAGAATTTAAAAACAAACATTAGGTTTGTATAGTAACCAATAGTCAGTACTAATTTGTACTGGAACCTGCAAATTTTTACTGGAAAAGTGTATGATAACCCAAAAAATTTGCAGGAGAGCAACAAATCGAGAGCGCAACAACACGGGAGAGCTGCAAATTCTTGCTAGTGAAATTTCTACTAGCAGAAATTAGCTAGCAGAAGAAGAAGAAGAATAAATGTCAAAAGCCGCCATTTGTTGAATTGGTTTAGCACAAACAAAAGTAAAATAAGTGAAAATTGAAATATTAATGATGTACTAGACTGTGTAAGTGCTTGTGTGAAAAGCAAAGAGTTTAAAACCGATTTATAAATAGTAAAATGTTTACAGCAGAATATCAAAAGGGTGCAACAACTATTCACTTGCAAGTTTTTACTAGTTTTGCGTTCAGTAACTTTTTCTGCTAGTTTTCTCTTCTTGTCAATTTTACGCTCTATTTTGCTCTTACGCTCTGGCTGCAATGTTTTACTGGAGAAGTTACTATACAAACCTATTTTTTGGTTTACAAGGACGAATAGGACTTGAAAATGCACTTTAAATAAATTTTATCTTTTTGAGTTAATGAAGTTTGCAGGACGAAATTCGATGATGAGGTCCTGCGTATATTAGTCCTCAAACAATATTAAAAAAAAAAAAGAAATTTGAAAATTTTCAAGGCTATTTATTATGTTATTATGTTATAATTCTACAGATTTTTTTCTTTCATATGACACTCTTATTTTTATCCTACCTTGCACTGAATTTTTTGAATAATTTTTTGAAATAATCATATTTTTTAACTTTCAATGTCTTTTTAAAAAAGTCCTGACTTCAGAGAGAAAAACTAAGTACACAGTTTTACTATAATTTACCCATAGTTTCGCGAATATATTCATTTTTTGTGTGTGTAAAATTTACTGTCGCACTGTGTATGTAATCAAATTTGTTGCTTTGTGTAGGAGTGCAAAACTAACAGCAGAAAAGCGTTGCTAAAAGAACAAGTCCCAAGCTTATGGTCTCGGGAGGTTTCACAAGACAAGTGCACAGCTTTCGTCGTGGCCTTTTTAGTCATTAATACTAGTAAATCACATAGAATTATCCTTGGTGGAATTGGACCACAAAACTTTCGTTTAAACTGTACAGAGATCGTTGAAAATATTTTTCATTTGCTCACTTTTCTACTCAAAAGTATCTTTTCACGTACATAAATACGTGCGTAGCTTGACTTTATTTATAGCGCTTATTAGCCTGCTACATACCGCTTCGGTCGCATGCCATTTGTCCCCTTTTTCGTTAATAGCCATGGCGCATTAACGTTTTCTGCATTGCTTCTCAACGCACAAATTTCTTGCATTTTTACACTTTTTTTCTGTCGTTTTTTTCTAAATTTTTGTCATCATTATTATTCATTATAATGCGTGTACTCGCATGCAGTTGCCACTCTGTTGTATACGCAACGTGAAAATATACATATTTACATACGTATGTATGTACATACATACATAAGTAGTAGGTATCCAAGTCGTATGCATGCGGTATGCAAGCGCTAATTAAAAATAAACTACGTATACGCCGTGTACAACCAACATTAATAGGCTTCTTTCGTGACGACTCGAATTGAGTAGGAAGTTTTTGCTTTTACAAGTATGCAATAATTTATACAACTGCCTCTGCGAGGCGGAAATAATGCAAAATGAATGGCAACAGCAAACTTCAGGAGGTATCGTTATGTTATTATTCTGAAGAAATATTAATATTTAACTTGACCTTGGAAAAATGCGATTTATGTAAGTTATTAAAAGAACAGCATTTGTTTTATTCCACAAGCAAAGTTGCGAAGAGTGAACTCTTAACTAGCTAGCAACGGAGGTAAATGGCTGCACTACAAAACTTTGAAATGTTTCTTTCAATATATTTTCATGCTGAGATTTCTGCTTTAAAGAGGCCACACGTTTCCAGCTGGAAACCTAGTATGTATCTGCTTTGTTAGCCATGCGTGTTTAAAGGGAATAGGACCAAAATAAGTGAACTCGTAGATTGTACAGATATTCCTTGCCGGACATTGGAATATTCTGGGAAACCAGGTAACTAATGAGATGGTTATGTAGGTCTCTAAGAAGCCAATAAATTGTAAAGATCCGGTTATTAACTTCACTGTAAAGATTTGATCACTGCTTGGCTGTGAAGCTAAGGTCTTTAGAGTAAATTCCTCTACCAACCTTATTGTCCAGCTTTGACTCATCCGTAAAAATTGCGGTAGAGCCAGGATCGTAAGTCGCTTCGGTATACAATTCTGGTAGAAAATCGATTTGCGAGCAAGATATTGGGAGAGTACCCTTTGTACCCTATCCAATATGCTTCCATAAATGGATTTTTCTAGATTCGGCCAACATAAGGTGATCCCATAGAAATAACTGAGTCAGACAACCGCCGTGTACAT